GAATCGGTGAGTCAAGGGATGACTCAGTGAGTCGAGATGGGACCTTTCAGTGTTGGGGGACTCGGCAAGTCAGCAGGCTGACTCAGCAAGTAGAGTCAGCTAGGAGGTTGACTTTGACTTTGACTTTGATCAAGAGTTGACCAGTTGACTTCTAAGGGCATTTTGGTATTTTGTGGTATTTATTGGGTTTACTCTTTCGGCTTTATCAGGGGTGGAGTTCGTGTCGGAGGTTGGAGCAGTGTGATCTTATCTTTTCAGTCAGCAGTTGCAAGGTGAGTGATCCTCACTATATCAACAGGGTCTAAGGTACCAAGGCCGGTCCTTTATCGGATTGTAATCCGGGTATTGTTGTTATGTTGATGTTTTGCTATGTTTGCATCCTAGGAGTTAGGATGGTATATGTTAGAGACCTGGTTAAGGTTGGTATCGTGGTATATAGGGTGATGCTATGCTAGTGACCGGTTAGGTTGGTATCCTGCTTAGAGTATGTTGTGTTACGTGATCTGCTAGATCGGTTTGATTGAATGTGAATTGTTATATGATTGTATGTTTGTGTGCACATGGTTGTTTGACTGGGGTTGGGTTGAGGCGGGACTTGCTTTGTGTTGTAGGTCAACATACCCAGGGCAGACCGGTTATTACGAAGGCCCAGCGAGCGGTCCGAATAGGCTGTAGGCCCCACGAGGGTGGACCAGACGTGCCGAGGCTCGGAGAGTGGACCAGGCCAACTGAAGGCCCGATGCGGGCGGACCAGTCATACTGTAGACGCAGAGAGTGGACCGGGTGGGTTGAAGGCCCAGTACGGGCGGACCAACCACATTGTAGACTCAAGGGACATGACTAGACTCGGAGGGTGGACCAGGTGGACTGAAGGCCCAATACGGCGGACCAATCACACAGTAGACCCGATATGCATGGTTGTTCTGTGATTTGTTATGATATAGCATGTTATGTGTATGGTATATGTGGTTGGTATTTTGGGGGTATCTCACTAAGCTTTCGGGCTTACAATTGTGGTTTAATGTTTTTCAGGTTCTTCAGGAGACCGTGGCAAGGCAAAGGCGTGATCGTACCGCTCCTCGTGTTTATGATTTATGTTATGGTTCTGGGAATACTCTGATAATAAATGTTTTGAAAACCTTTTTGTAAAAACTTAAAGAAATTGGGATGCTTTGAAAAGTTTAAAATTTATTGAAATTTTTGGTCGTTACACTTGTACGTAAATATTTGTGGACGCTCTTACAGGTGTAACCATGATAAGAATCAGTGAAAACATTATCTATGCAAAAACTAATGATATCGTCCATATTGGATATGAACGCTACTTCCTTACCCTGTCCAAGACATTCTTTTAACCTCATCAGGAACCAGGTAAACCTTACCATGTTATTTTCAACCACCATACCAAATGCAATAGGTAAAGTGAGATTTTTCCCGTCTTTAGCAACCACTACATACATTGTTTTGAGGTAATTCCCTCGAAGACATACACTACTGATGAAGATTGCAGGCACGAAATAGTTTATGAATACATGGACCTTTGTTTTTTTATAGTGCAAACCAATTAGTTTAAATGTAGAAACATTATCAAATGTAAAGAAACAATATAAATTTGGAAAACAAATATATCACCCATCCAATAGCCAGAAAACAACATTGGAAACGATCAATCAAATCAGTTTTGATCTGAGTGTGAGTATGCGGGTTGGTTCGCCTTAGGTTATGAAGGTAAACAGGCAAGTTGTAAAAGCTTTATTGATGCTCACTGTCAGAGAAACTCATTTCGAATCAATTACAAGAGACAATTACAAATTATTAAGTGTGCCTAAGGTTGTGGAGGTAAGGAGGTTACCACATGCGGACACATTTGTATGTAGGACCTGGAAAGGCAAGTTCCATAATGTATTGTCTTTTCGAAAAGTATATTTGTCATTTCAAACAGTATCTCTGTGTAAGGTTTCTTACAATCGGACTACTCTTTGACATTATTTGACTACGGTTTCATAGACTTTGACTACTACTTTGTAGCCTGCATAATGTATTGTCTTTTCGAACAGTATATTTGTCATTTCAAACAGTATCTCCATGTAAGGTATCTGACAATCGGACTACTCTTTGACATTAGACTACGGTTTCATAGACTTTGACTACTACTTTGTAGCCTGCATAATGTATTGTCTTTTCGAACAGTATATTTGTCGTTTCAAACAGTATCTCCGTGTAAGGTATATGATAATCGGACTACTCTTTGACATTATTTGACTACGGTTTCATAGACTTTGACTACTACTTTGTATCCTGCATAATGTATTGTCTTTTAGAACAGTATATTTGTCGTTTCAAATAATATCTCCGTGTAAGGTATCTGACGATTAGACTATTTATTTTCATTATTTGACTACAGTTTCATAGACTATGGCTACAACTTATTTGCTTTCTTTTTTCTTATTAAAGTACTCCTATAAAATTATAACAAACTAACAAACAAATTTAATAAAATGGCCTCCAATCATGCCGAGAGTTCCAACGCAATTGCTCCGTCCAATACTCCACATCCATGGACGACAAGAGAGGTAATGGTGGTAACACGTTGTTGGATGAACATTTACGATGATGTAACCATGGTTAACCCTGATTGCTTTGAAAGTCATGATTGGACCTACATAATAGCCACGTTTAACCTCTCGTTGAGAGAAGGAACACAAGAAGATATTATTGGTAAGTGGTTGGATTTTAAGGGAAAAGTCACATGGTTTAATCGATGGTATCATCATCTTAAAAACATGTATCGTTATCCAAACAACGGCGAAGATCTTTTAGAAATGGTTAAAGATCATTACATTTTGGAGCATGAGGGAAGTGACTTCGAGTATGAGGATGCATGAATCCTACTTAAAAATAACAAATATTTCATGTAGAAGGCTCTTTTATGTGAAATGTCTTATGTAATGTTTTGTAAGGGTGTATCTCGCTTTCTATAATGTTTTATGTTTGTGTTTTTTTTCATGGAATAAATGAGATAATAAGTGTAGTACTACATTTAATTAATAATCTCAGAAGTGCAGTTTAATACAACAATACAAATCATAGATACGGGAATTCATTACTTTCCTAAATTAATCTAAGGACAATTCAAATCAAATGTGATGTTCAAATCAAAAGTAGGGTACACGCTTTCGTTCTGTGACCCGCTCCCGGATACGAATTCATCAGTCATTATGCCCTTTTTTGTCGATTTTTTCCTACCCCCAGATCTGCTGCCCGATTCCCTACCCGTACAATCATTCCTCGTGAGTCCAAAATGACCGCATGCAGAACATTCTTGTCGTATAGGACGCTCACCTTGAGATGGAATACGACCAGTGTTTCTTGGCCTACCCGGCTGACGTCTCTCCATTATGGGTATCATCAAATCATCGGGAATCTCCCACTCAGATGGACTTGGTAAGGGGTTTACAGACTCCTCGTAAGTTTTCCTAAGCGTCTCTGTAAAGTAAGCTTTGAAAGCAAATTCCGAACAATCTTCATAACGGTTCATTGTGAGCACTTTTATGACATGGCCACAAGGTAAGCCATCTATTTGTCATCGCCTACATGTACAGGTTCTTTGTTGGAAATCAACAATGACACTTTAGTGAGTATAGCATTTCACTTCAAATCTACTATTTAAGATAGGGTGCGTTTCAGCCCATGGGGTGAGTGTCGTTTTTACTTCAGCTAAAAAAATAGACATATTTTAATAATATCATATGAGTAGTAAAATAACATTTCAAGTACTATTAGATATAAAACATAAGTACCTACTATACTACGTATCTGAAAACTCTATTGTTGCATTATTGCACGAAAATACTCAATCAACATCAATATTGGCATCTTTCTTGCAAATCTTGACATTGCATTTTTCGACTCCGCACTATTTGATGTCATAAGAAAATACCGATTCCTAGGAAAATTTCCCCTGGCCCATCTTTCTGGATTGATGTTTTGTAGGTATTCCCATACACAAACATTTACCTTTTTAATTTTTTTCATCCCATTATCAATTTTTTTAATAGTATACGCTTTGCAAGTCTCCCAAAATAAATGCATGTATTGTATCGCTGCTTCCAAATTTTGCTGAAATTTTGAAATACAAATGGATACCACATATTCCATGATGGGCGTGAGGAAATATATTTGCAATTGACGTCGCTATGGATGGAGCCCTATTAGATATGAATGTAAGGTCTTCCATGTTACCTATACATTCACGTAGTTTTCGAAGAAACCAGGACCATGTCTCCGTACATTCACTTTTGCATATGGCATAAGCAACAGGCAAAATCTGATTTTGACCGTCCATTGTCACTACGAGCAACATCGTACCCTTGAATTCACCCTTTAGGTGACCACCATCAATTATTAGCATCGACCTATACTATTTGATGAGTGCTTGTACCTACAATTATTTTTTATTGCATTAACAAATACAAATTGAGAATCATATGTTATATTTGTTATAAAAAATTATCAATACTTACCGAGCAACCCAGCACGATATACACAACCTCAAATTGATCATCAACGTTTGTTCTTATCTGAGTAACAGTTCTTGGATTAGGCTTGACCAAGTTGTGCAGATACGCTGGTAGTTTGGTGAATGAATCCTCTTTGCTACCTCTTAACATCAACAACACATATTGTTTTGCCCGCTATGCTTGTTTGGTATGAGATATTGATTGAAAATTTCGAATTGATGTCCCTTACAATTTCATTACCCAGATAAACTCTATTATAATCTTTGGCCAATACTTCAGCATAAAGTGGCCGAGTACCTTTTTCTTTGATTGTCGATGATTAGACTCCAAGTTTGTTGCACAATGTGTGTGTTTGTCAACAACTTTTGTGACTTGGAAAGCAGTAGTAGATTTAATTCCCCTTGCTCTAACCATCTAAGAACAATTTTCTACCAAACAAACCACCTCGAACCTTTCTTTGCTCGATCTGGTAGTCTTATACTACTTACCTTGTTCCATGCATTGTCTTCCAATTGCAAGCTTGAGCGACTCTTTGTCATCAAAAATGTCTAAAACCTTAATCTTTTCATTTATATCCAACCTCTGACATTGAATGTTCACATTATCATTTACAGGACACGAAGGCAATGGGGGCTTACCATGAAACATGGTATCTGAATAAATAAGTTTAGGTTCATCATCAAATTCTTCTCCATTATAATCACTCTCTAGGCCGGGTATATCCAACTTGTCACAATCCGCAAACTCATCAAAACCTTTTAGTTCAACATCATGCAAAAATGGAACTTCTTGTTTTCCAGATTCATTACCAACCTTATCCACCACATCTAGTGTTTTTTTTTGTCAAAGTTATGATTTACACCAACATAATTAACATATGTACCAACATCATTATCACCTATACACTTATAATTCTCCGGTGTAACATACATAATCGGTTCTGGCAATACATTTTCATTTTCAGCAACACTATTGTCACACCCCCAAACCAAGGATGGCGGAAACGTTCGGGGGTGGAGGACTTCACGTAAAGTATCACAACAATGAGTATAATAGTGCTCAAAGTAAATACAACCATCACAAATATAATTGAAAAAGTTACACCAAAGTATATGTTTACATGATTCACATCAATTACATTATGATACAAAATGAACTGTTTGACGAATTATCATCCCATCCTCAAAACGTTGTTGATTTCCTATTTCACTGAATTCCTGAGAATACAAGTAGTTTTGAAAAAGTGTCAACACAAAGGTTGGTGAGTTCATAAGAGATTTCGTTAGAGAAGTAAACCGTTTTCCTTGTAAAAGCGTTAGAATATGTATCCAGAAAATCCAATATTTTATTTATTATGTATATGTAGTCCCAAATCCCAGGACCGAGAAATAACAAGTATTGACCATACTTAAAGATATAAAAGTGGTTTTAAATGATGTGTAGTCATAAATACCAAAACCGAAAGTGTACAGTAATATCTGTACTTATTGACATAAAAAGTGATTGTAAATCGACATAAAACCCCTTTAGGTTTTATAAAAATCCCTTAAACTTTATGTATTGTTATCTCCCTATGTGATTCGCTATAACCATACTATGACTGAATGAACCTGCCACGACGTTTCTCAGGCGTCGTGAAACTGAAATGACATTTGTCACCCGTAGACCTGCAGGTCCCACTGTAGCTAGCAGCAAGGTGTGGGTGTCAAAACCAATATAGATCTATACACAACTATCACGTTCTCCCTCCAGGAGACTCTGATTATAACTACCAGGAATTTAGATCCCGCACTCGGACGTACGGAAATAGATTGTCACACAATTTAGGTTAACAAGTTTACGTGTGGTGTGCGTGAGTGTAAAACCTTTTTGTATGAATGTACCCTTTTTGTACGAGTATGTTATGTGATGAATCATAAACTATACCTATTATAGTTTATCCAAAACGTTTGTAATATATAAGAACTCTTTTATGAAAATGCATTAGTGTTATGAATCCATAAACTATGCATATTATAGCTTAATATACGTGTTCTAAATGAATGAATAATCTTATCATGAATGACTAAGTTTCAGTTTATGATGATAAAATAACAAGGAAACACATTCAATATTTATAACTTATGGTTATACACTTTGCTCAACATAATACAAAGTGTTATGAAATTTATATGCTGTTAACTAAATTGAACCTTTCTGCATTGTTTTAGAAAAGTCATAGAAAAATTATACGAAGTCAAAAACAAAATCTGTAAATTCTGAGAGTTCAAAAAATGTGTCTAGTTTACTCATAATTTTTTATCATGATTTTTAATGACCTCCAACTTAGGTGAAAAAGTCCATAATCACATACTGGTCCGGATTGGTGTTTGAAATGATAGGCAGATTTGTAAATATCACCATAAATTGTAGAAACACCATATGGAGATTTTCAAGTAGTCATTTTAAATCTAAGAACTTTAACTACTTGCACCTCGTACAGTTTTGAAAACAAAAATGTTTAAGTTTCCCAAAACAGTCCGTGAATGGAGTTGAACTTTTCTAATGAAGGCTGTTAGAAAAGTTTAGTTATGTTCTTGGTGTTTTAACTTGTATTCCCCCCCTCCCCCCCCCCCCTAAAAACTTGAGAAAACATTAAAATGTAGGGGTATGAACTCACCTTATGTGATTTTAGTAGATGGATGATGGAGAAAAGAAGTGTTCAACTCAAGAACACTTTGGGAGATTGCTTGAAGATTCGGAGATCTAACACCAATATGATGATATTTGTGTAAGAAATCAATGATTTGAGTAGAATGATGTGTAATAATCACAAGTAGGATGCTAATACTTACCAAAAGTAGAAGAAAAGTTTGGAGTATAGCCTTGAATCTTGAATTTTTAGAGAGAGGAAGTGAGAGAGAAGATATGTTTGATCTTTAGTGGAAGAATGAGAAAATGAGAGAAGTGTGAGGAGAGAGGAGACTTTTCTAGCCTTTGACCAATTGTGAGGTTGGAAAAAGGTGGGAAAAGTACAATGAAGTGACTAAGTAAGGGCTGATGGGGAATAATGACATGATTAGGTATGGGTGGTTGCTTGTGTCATAGAATAAAGCAAAGTCAACACTCCACCTCAATTATTCATCCACTAGATTTTATTATTTAAATAAGGATTTTCATGAAAATATGATTAAATTATGAATATTTAGGGTTTATTATGTTAAAATACGAGTTTGAGTGAAAATCCCACGTTAAAATCTCGAAAAACGAGCTTAAAATGTTAAAAATATTGAAAATGGGTGAAAAGCATCAAAAATCCGAAGTCTGGTCGGAGGTTCGGCCATTTGATGCTTGGAACCGAAGGTGGAAGATAAGGACCGAGAGAGGGGAAGGAACCGAGAGTAGAAGAGAAGAATGACAGAAAGCGAGGCTCGATTATGACGGAGGACCGATAGTGCGAAGGCGGAAGGAAGACCGAGACTCGGTCTCGATTCTCAGGTCTTAGCTCCAGGTCTCGGTTTCGGTTCCTTCTTGGTTTCGGTTCCCAGATCTCGGTTTCGGCTGCTTAGGGTTTCGGTTCTTTCTTGGTTTCAGCTTGTAGGTCTCGGTCTCGGTCTCAGCTTCTAAGAGGTTTCGGTTCCTTGAGAGGGGTTTCGGCTCCTTAAGTCTGTTTTTCTCGTTTTTACCCCGTTTTAAGCCGTTTTTGACCCGGTTAAGGGTCGGGATGGCCCGACAGACTATAAAAAGTTTAAGGAACTTTTGAGAGAGATTTGGGAGAGATTTTCACATTCTTGGAGAGATTTCTCATACAAAGAGAGCTTTGGGAGAGATTTCACTGTAACGCCCGCAGACCCGGGCTAGTCAATTTAGAGGCAATAGGGGTCAAAAATGACTTTTCGACAAAAGATTATTTAGAATAAATAGTCTTAACCAAGTTGTAGAATATTTCACAAGGTTTCCGTACATATAAAGAACGCCGAAATCCGAGTTATAACGAAGAAGTTATGGCCCGTCGAAGTTTCGCGACGGAACCGGCACGACATCGGGAAGCGTAAATAGTGAATTTACGATAGAGCGAGATTTATCCTTAGCAATCTAAACGAAAGTCATAGAATATGTTAAACTAAGAGCATCGATAAAAAGAACCCCCAAATCTGACTTCGTATGAGGAAGTTATGATTTTTCTAAGATTCGGCTTAGTAGTGTACAGCCCGAAACTCGAATTTTAGTTCGAGTCGTTTTTGGCTTACGCGAACTAAATGAGAGTTGAATGTGTCATTAATAGGAACTCAACGGTAAAAAGACAGACGAAAACGGAGTCCGTATGAAGGAGTTATGATATCTTCGCGGTCATTTAACAGTCTAAACGCCTCCTACTGTTAAATTTGAGATCGGTCGAGAATTAGCCAATGGAGTCTAAACAAAAGTTGTAGATCTTGATTTTACCTACGCGTGGATATAAAGAACGTCGAAAACGGAGCTCGTATGCAAAAGTTATGATTTTTCTAAGTTTGAAGGCTGATACGCGATAGGGGATGACGTGGCACCACCAGAATTGGACACGTGGCACCACCAGAAGGCCACCACATGGACCAACTCGACGAGTCATGACTCAGACTCGACGATTCCATCATATTTCTCCCCTATAAATAGAGGTGTCGGGTTCCATTCATTCTCACACCTCCCAAACCTTCTTTCTCTCTCTAAACTCTCTCTCTAAGGCTCCCTAACCCCCTAAAGCCTAGGATAACTCCCTAGCACGAGGCGGAAGCTCCGAAGCGCCCGACAGCTCTGAGAAAAGAGCCTTTCGGCTCAGGAAACGCTGCTCCAGCGAAGCCCGGTTTTGCGAAAAACCCGCTGTAAGTGAGATACGCCTACGCTAGTTTTAATATAGCTTCTAATTAATTACGGTAACATTATTAGGACCTTAAAATAATTGTTTGGGTTATTATTATGAGTTATATTGAGTGTTATTTAACGCTTATATAATAATAATAATAGCTATACTATTAATTAGTCGCGGTTATCGTTAGACTAAACCATAGTGGTGTTGATACTAGGTTTTATCGAAGGAAATTGTGTTGAGAGTATCGAAGCGTTGTCCGAGTGTTGAGTCACCACCTATCAGGTGAGTGCATGGTCCCTTTCATCTTACACATAGATATGAAGTATTTTAATATAAATTACATGCTATGTGTGCATATTGTTTGAATACTTGTTGTCTATGTTGGATGAATGATTTATACATGTTTTAAATGATTTAAACTGTATATTTATTTTATATCTACAAATATGTTGGGATAAAACATGGGTAGATGAAATAGTTGGTGAGTGATGAAATAAAATAATGAGAGATAGGTGATGATAGGAAGGTGATGATAGATAGGTGATTATGAATCGGTGATGTAGGATACTACAACCTTGTCCGACAATATGGAGATGTAGTCATCTACCAGAGTATAGATGGCGACCACGGACTATTATAGACAACCCCGTGGAAACACCAGCAGGCTAGTAACCTGTAGGTGATGAATTACGAGTTCAGGCGATGTTGTAACTACATATTCATGGGATGATAGTCTAACCCTTATTATGAAGTACGAGTCCAGGCGATGTTGTGGCTACGTATTCATGCGATGATAGACTAACCCTTATCATGATTTACAAGTCCAGGCGATGTTTTGGATGTGTAATCATGCGATGATACCCTAACTCTTGCTAGACACATATTGAGGGAGTAATCCCCGGATCAGTATTGTCTATGCAATAGGCGATGATCCTTAGGTAAAGTTCGTAGGAACAATCATATAAGGAAATATGATGTAAGGAGATGAGAAGTAAATATGATATAGGAGATGACCCTTGAGATAATATCTTTAGGGAAGACTAAAAGAAGATAATGGGGATGGGTAATTGGGTTGATTGTTTGATTGTTTAAACATAATAACTATAT